TTTGCCTGCTTGAGTTACTTTTACTGATGCATTTATCCCATTTAACATCATTTTCATTTCAGCTGTTGATATTCTAACCTCTTAAGCTAGAATTAGCATTAATAGTCTGACTTGGGCAAGTTCTCCATCAGAACCTCACCATTGATTCCTCTAAAATTTACTTTTGAATGTCTGTACTAATACACACATGATGCATAAACCCAAGACCGCTGGGGAGGGGAAGTTCACTGCCTTTTGCCATATTTTTCTGTTTGCAGAGCTGTATTCAAACTGTAGCTTTAGTTACAGCCATGGTACTAGGCAGTGTGATACCCTGCTAAAAATACATTTTCCTCTGTGTAATTACCTGTTGTGGATGTCCTTGGATGGAATTTGGGGTCTGAATGCTTTTGTAGTTGGGCAGAGGTTTTTGACTGAGGTTATCATCTCGCTTCCCACTTTACAAGTTCATGTCTCCAGGGTTTTGTCTGCTATTATAAGATCTTTATTGGTACTATTGTTAAGAACAAATAAGCTGTTGCAAGACTGAGATAATCGGCATAACTACCAGTAATGTTAATATACCATAGTTAATGCTTCATTTTAACACACTCATTACTGTTGCTTTAGGTCAGAGGTCCAGCTTAAAGTACTGGTATGAGAAGGAGTGGTTAAGTAATGGTCACATGCATGGCTTAGCATTTTTGGAAGAAAATTATTCCCACCAGAATGCCAAGAAGATAGTAGCCACTCACCAACTTCTTGGCGATGTACAGAGAGTGATAGAAGTACTGCATGGACTGCAGCTGAAGATGAGCATATTACAGTAAGCAGTATTTAAGTATCAGTCGGCATGTTCTCAACATGAATTAGATTTCAAATGGTAGAAAAATAATCAGAAATTCAGACTTATTTTTGTGCTTCTTTGTGGATATATAACAACATAGTTTGAATTGCAGCTGTGATCTTTGAAAAGGACTTGGCTGCTTAAAAACTATTGAAGTGTGTTGAGTGTAACTTGACTATGTGTACAGAAGGGTTGGGGAAGTACAAAGGGAAGAGGGAGAAAACTAATAACAGCAGCTTCTCTTAAAGCACCTAAACAGATTTAAGTAGCAAGAAGAGGATAGGCGTACAACCTATGGCAGCATTCTTAAAACACTTGCCTTCTCCATTCCAGTAACTCTAAATCATGGCTTTTCCAGAGAAATCAAATCTTTTTGTTTAGTGTAATGTGTTGCTCTGTTGTAGTGGGAGAGCAGTTGCACCTTCAGCAACCTGTAACAATTCATTTCTACGCAAAGATACGTTATGATATATATGAAAAAATAACATATTCTCTAATTGCAGTAGAAGTCAAGTTTTCTGCGTCTTTTCCTGTTTAAAGTCATCCTTGGGTTCTGATGACAGGAAAAATTTTTTTCGAATTCAAATCCAGCAGGTTTAAATTGGTTGAATTCCATATTTATTATTCATTAGTTGATAAATTGCACAGCAGCAGCTATTTGGAAAGCAAAGCTTTTAGTGTTTCCAGCATTCTTTAGAAATTTTTCCCTTAAATTTAATCTGTGGTGATGCAGTAGGGCCACTGGCAGTACTTGAAATGCTTAAACAGTGGAATAATGTTTAAAATAAGTTTGTTTTTCCATTATGGTATCCTTTAGTCAGATCTGTAAGTAATCCCTTCCCTCTTTGGAGAGGGTGGAACATAAATATTCTAAGACCACTCCTTAGGCCTTTTCTTAAATAGCAAGACTTTCCAGTTGTAGAGCAAATGCAGATTTGTATAGCACTAAGGTGTAGAGCACTGGGCAAGTAATGTGATGCTTGTTACAGACTTGGTTCTTTTTCTATCCCATCCTGAAGTTGGTGTAATGACCTGGTTTAATTAAAAATGAGGCGTAGTCCTGTTAGGACCATCTTGTTAAAAGCTATAGCCCCTGTTTTCTTTATATAAATCAAAAAGGATTTGAAAAATTGCTGAATTAGAAGAATGATCGTATCGTTGATGCAGATCTACCGTCTAGGGGAGAGGAGATGATTTCGCAGCTGCCTGAAATTATTAGGAGAGTGTTGCTCAGTATTTCAAGGAGGTGGTAAAGGATCAGAGGTGACATTGACAGCTTTGGTGCAACGGGAGGAGAGCCAGCCTTCAGGAGGCAATAGTTAAAAGGTTACTCAAGTATTAAACATTCGAATTTTCATCCTTATGTAGCCGATGCATCATCTTTCAATTTTCTGTCCTCTATAGAGTTATCCCTTGCTCTTTGCTGAGCAAAATAGTGCCGTTAGGTGTAGAGTAGCAATGGAGCTGGAGTAGAAAGCTTTGGTAAATGAAAACTTGGCTTTCACTTTTCTAGGCGTGCCTTAAGGATTGCTCACAAGGACATCGTAGTCGTGCAGTCCCTGGGGGTAGAGGCGCTCATATAAAGCAGTCTGAGCAAGTCCTTGGCGTTCCTAGTTAATTGTGCTTTCCTCTGGAAGACACTGAAGAAACCTTAGCTACTGTAGAATGGATTAGAAACTTCGGAAGTAAAATGGTTGTGTTCTGTTGAGTGGTTTGGCTAACAGCTGGAACAGCTGGATTGGCTTAATGGAGTAATTCCATCTGCTTCTGTTTGCAAGGAAGCAGAGAGTGGGATTTCGGGCCAGCCCTGCCTTTCTGTGCAGCTGAATGCAGGTGTTTTAGGGTCAGGGTTTGCCTCTGCTGCATTCTCACAGCAGATAAGCTGCCTCCTGTCCTTTGAAGGTAAGCAGATTGATTCTGCTTTGCTCTCCTTTATACTGCTGTTTTGGTGCCTGACAGACATGTGGAAGAACAGTATCAGTTACAATGCTCACTCTAAATTTCTTGTTTGTTTGTTATATCTCTGTAAGAATCTGTTACCTGTAGTTGCCCATGCTGCTGGAATAAATATGTCAATTTGAAAACAATTAAAATATGAATTTTTATAAAAAGCAGGTGGGGGGACTATGGCATGTTGCTGTACCAGGCAGTAGAGTTTGCTCAGCATCCTGGGATTTAAAGGAAAGTTAAAGTTTTAAAGGAAATAATAAAGTAGTTCTACACCACCACCCCCCCAAGTCCCCACTTGTTGTTGCTGTTGTTGTTGTTGTTGTTGTTGTTAGAGAGTAATAAAAGATCAATTGATTGAATTTTAAAGTTTATTTGGGGGAACTTCTGGCTAAAGTTTGATACTGAGGGGATCTTTCACTGGTGTTTAGAGTTGTTAAAATCTTAGTTTAGCTTCAGTGTATTTAACTTACCTGTTTAAAATACTACTAAAAATATCCCAGTGAACATGAGTTTATGCTGTTAATAAATTGCAAATATTAAAGCAAAATGCTCCTTCAAGGGCAACAATTGTGAAAAGTTGTATCTATTTCAAACTTACTCTTCAATTTTTTTCTTAATGCCAACACTTGGCTTATATACCATGCTATAGAAATGAAAATAGTGAACCTAACAGAACAATGCAGGAAGAGACACAACTGAGCTCAGTGAAATTATATTCTTTCAGAATATTTGGGTAATTTTTATTGATCATGGTCACTAAAGCATGTAGTAGTTCAAATATATGTGCTTAATTTCCTCATGTAGTAGGATAGTTTGCTCAGTCGCTTTGAAGTTTAAAGTTGGTGGGTGTTTTACTTTTTTTATGTTTGGACAGAAATAAAGAACATCCTGACCTAAAGCTTTGGTGCCATCCATGGAAGCACATCACGGTGGATGAAAAAAATCACACTAAGCACATCATTCATATTGAGGAAAACTGTTGCAAAGAGGAGAAAGCAAGTTATAGAACTTGGAATGGGACAGTTGAGAAACCCTCAGCCATTCCTTCTGTGGAGGAGTCTTACATTACAAGTGAACACTGCTACCAGAAACCTCGGGCTTACTACCCCGCCATAGAGCAGAGGCTGGTCGTGGAGACGAGGGGCTCGGCCGTGGATGACGGAGTGAATAGAATAAGGGAGAACGGGGACGATGCTCTCTCAGAGAGATTTGGCTGGAATCTGGACCGAGAAATATGCAAGATGGAAAATGAATCCAAACACAATTACTCGAAGGTATTTCTGTTAAAATAACCATCTCTGTGTAGATGATGTGTTTGCCTGGCAAAGTGCAAAACTGAACCCCTTTAATAGTATTTAGTTTATTTGTGTTGAGTTTTTTGTCCTACACTGTTAAATTTAAGTTGCCAGTGTGAATTAAAATGATAGACATGATCAGCTCCTCCATTTCAAACAATAATTAAAAAAAAAAAAAATCCAGGTCGGAGCGGACTTGCAGATCTTAAATCATCTGCACAGTCTGTGGAACATGCATTATGGTCCACTGGCAGTTCATTGCTGCTTACTCTTATGTGTGTTAAATGCAAAAATAAACACTAGCAAGGGGATGGAGAGACAACAGGGCAAGCAGATGTGGTACTACAAAATGCACTGATGTCCCGACTTTTAGTTAGTTCCATCTTGTTACCATGTTTCTTTTAATAGTTACATTAAAACAGTTACATTAACTAAATTTGATTGCAGGTTCTTAAGGCAGTGTTTTGCGGGGGGGGGGGAATAAAGGAGCCTGAACAGATTTTTAAAAATGGTCACCATTGAATAGTCCTGTATCTTCTTCCTAGTGGAGCACTCTAGTTCTGTCTTTTCAACTCTAGGTTCTCATTTTCAGATCTATCAGAGACATTTCTTTCTACACCCCAATGCAAAAGTTTCATTTTGATTAGTTAGTGCCAAGCCATGTGAAATACAGTCTGACGAATGTTAAAAAGCCTCTGGGAAATACTTAGATATGTTTAGATTTTTTTAGATCAGGTTCTTTAGCTTTTATTTCATGGCTATGTAAGCTGTAATTTATGTTCTTTTTAACTGCTCTATCAAATCAATTGAGATTGCTCTATGTTTCCCAGAAAGGCATATATTTCAGGTCTCTAGACTTTTAGGAGCCTTTTTCTAAATCCTGTCATACTTTAACATAATGATGAAAAAAGTGGGGAAGTAGAATCAACACTGCTGACAGTGTAGTCAGGTTTTGTAAGTGGTGGTGGTAATGGGTTTTTTTCTAGACGCTTCAATGAAAGTTTTAGTAGAATTGAGATTAGATTCCTTCAGGAGTCCCTTCTCACTGCAAAATCATTTGCTCTTTACCTGGAAGACAGGGATGAGGCGCAGAGTGAAGCCCCCATAACGAAAGGGGAAATGGTTAGTGACCTGCTACACCATTTAGACACATGCTCTGGGGCTGGACAGGATCCGCCCAAGGATGCTGAGGGAGCTGGTGAAGAGCTCACCAAGCCACTCTCCATCACGTATCAGCAGTCCTGGCTGGCCGGGGAGGTCCCAGCTGACTGGAAGTTAGCCAGTGTTGACACCCATCTACGAGAAGGGCCAGGAGGAGGACCTGGGGAACTACAGGCCTGTCAGTCTGACCTCAGTGCTGGGGAAGGTTACAGAGCAGATCATCTTGAGTGCCATCATGAGGCATGTACAGGACAAACAGGTGATCAGGCCCTGTCAGCATAGGTTTATGACAGACAGGTCCTGCTTGACCAACCTGATCTTCTATGATAAGGTGACCCACTTAGTGGATGAGGAAACCGCTATTGATGTTGTCTACCTGGACTTTAGTGTAGCCTTTGACACCGTTTCCTACAGCATTCTCCTGGAGAAACTGGCTGCTCATGACTTTGGGTGAGTGTACTCTTCACTAGGTAAAAAACTGGGCCCCTCACTCCAAGAAGGACATTGAGGCGCTGGAGCGTGTCCAGAGAAGGGCAACGAAGTGGTGAAGGGTCTGGAGCACAAGTCTGATGAGGATCGGCTGAGGGAACTGGGGTTGTTGAGCCTGGAGAAGAGGAGGCTGAGGGGAGACCTGATGGCTCTCTACAACTCCTCTGAAAGGAGGTTGTAGCCAGGTGGGGGTCGGTCTCTTCTCCCAAGTAACAAGTGATAGGACAAGAGGAAATGGCCTCAAGTTGTGCCAGGGGAGGTTTAGATTAGATATTGGGAAGAATTTCTTCCCTGAAAGGGTTGTCCATCACTGGCACAGGCTGCCCAGGGCAGCGGTGGAGTCCCCATGCCTGGAGGTATTTAGAAGACGTGTAGATGTGGCGCTTGGGGACATGGTTTAGTGGTGGGCTTGGCAGTGCTGGGTTAACAGTTGGACCTGATGATCTTAAAGGTCTTTTCTAACCACAACAATTCTATGTCAAAAATAGCTTTAATAATCCCAAGGATGCACAGATTAAGTGCAGTATCTTCCAGCTGGAAGTTGGCAGGGATCTCGCTAAACATGTATGTGTTATCTTGAAAATCAGATGCTTGTGAAGTGTGAAGAATAGATTTTGGCAAAATACCTATAAAAGCATGTCTGTACTTAGATCCTCTTGCCCAAACTGCCTTAATATTTGTGCATGATCTCTTCTCTGTGTCTTGATCAGTTGAGCAATTAGCTTGGGTAACTGTAAGGACCTACAGTCCAGCTCACTGATTCTACTTCACTGTAATAAGCATTAACGTGTGCATTTCTGCTAGGTAAGAGAATCTGTGTCTAAGAAAGTCTCCGCAGAGGAAGCGATTGAAATGAAACTGCTGGAAAAAGACAAAGAAGGAGCTGTGAACTCGCAGCTGCAGTGGCAGCTTAATCTTTTAGCTCATGTGGAATCTCTGCAAGATGAAGTCATACACAGAATGGATTTCATTGAGAAGGAGCTAGATGGTAGGTAACGCTTTTCTATTTCAAAAATTAACTATTTATCTGAACTACCTGTTCAGAACATGTTAACTTGAATTTTACTTCTGCAGACCTACACAGATGAGCGTTGCTTTGTCAGATTTGCTGTGTTGACTAATAGAAAATAGATGTGCTGCTGATGTTGGGGGGGGTGGATTTTAAAACAAAGATCAAATTTAAACTGAGCAGAATTTTATAGAAAAAGTTCTGGTTAAATCACCTCTCAATACTTGCATCAAATGAGGTAGTGGAATATCTTCTGTGTCTTTTTCTTTCACGTTTTTGTCATTTTTCATGGCACTTCTGTGTGTCAGAACTTCCCTGTTCTTCAGAGGCTTGCTGGCTGGTTCAGCCTATTCTAGGTGGCCTTTGTGGTGCACAAAGCTCTTGTTTCTTGTGTCTTCCAAATTTATTACTTAAGTGTCTCTTGAAGTTTGTTTTGCTAGTGATGTAACACTTAAAGGGTTTAGAAATTTGCTATTAAACAATCCAGGATAGTTCTTTTTCTTAACATCTTTGGCCATTGGTTGTGCAGTGGTTAAGTTCCAGCTTTTCTTGCGAGGAAAAAGTGCTTGGGAATCTAACCTTTGCCAAAGTAAGAGTCCTCTCTAGTTCAGTAAGGTACTGAAAAGTTGAACAATTAAAGGAATATTTCAGGTAATGAAGACCGATCAGGCCTGTAATCATAATGCCTGTTTCATACATGACGAAGCTCTAGTTCACAAAAGTCAGGCTTTTTGTATCTGCCGCCGAGCTGGAGGGCTGCTCAGAGCATTGCTGCTCTCATCAGGAATTTTCTTGTTTCCAGGCTGGCTGTGTCAGTAGTTGGGTAATGCCCACTAGTTCTGCCCATGGGTTAAACGAGCCGGTAAGCTGGTTAGTGGCGATGGCTGCTGCTGCGTCTCTTGGCAGGTGTATTCTGTCTTGAAGGCTTCAGTCTCCTTCTGCGATACTGTCCTGTCCCCCGAACTCACTGTAGTTCGAGCTGACCACCTTTCTTGTGGTCATGTTACATTATCGCCCGAGGTGTCTTTTGATCAGTGGTTTGTTTGGTTCTTGTTTCCTGCTGGGAAACTTTAGAGCAGGAATTCATTCTCTTTGTGCGGTGGTCTGCTGTTTGTGCTTTCAGATTTCCTCCCATTTTCTGTTACCCCATTCTTTCTGTCTTGGCCAATTGTATTCTGTATTGACAACAAACTTCTCTCATTAGCGTAGTCCTATTCTTTTAGGATCTTCAGTGAAAATACTGTGTAGCTGCATCTAATGCTGATCTTAAAGGTATTCTGGTGGTTTAAACTCCCTGTACCGCAGTGTCCTTGCTCTGGAGTTGGTACAGATCAGTGGAAGTGCAGCACCAGATTTCACAATATCTAGTCCTGAGTGTTCCTTCCCTGCTTTCTCCTAGGAACATCTGCTTTTTTTTTTTTCTGTAAAGATTGGTGTGAGGAGCCTGGTTTTCTGATTTCTTAAAAACCACATGTTAAAAATACTGCCCACTGTGCTCTCAAGATTCACAAAAGATTTCAAGAATTCCTGTTTTGTGAGTTAGGTGGTCTGTTTGCTGAGAAGTGGAATAGTGATAATTTTGTTTTTTCTTTGCAGTTCTGGAGAGTTGGCTGGATTATACAGGAGAGCTGGAACCACCAGAACCACTAGCTCGACTCCCACAACTCAAACATTGTATAAAGCAGCTTATAACGGACCTAGGCAAAGTGCAACAGATTGCACTGTGCTGCTCAACATGAGACTAGAAAATGTTGGAGACTGTTACAGAGTGTGAAGTTGGAGCATCTGATGTGAACAGCTCTGTATATTTAAATGAAATGAGCATGCTGGTTGCATGTGGCGCAGATTGACTTCAGGGATTTGCGAAGAAGTGCTGTTCAAAGAACAGCAAAAAGGTTATTTTATCTCATCATAATTTTGGGTTTATTAAGCAATTATAACGATGTGGAAGAGGTCATACTGTTGTCTTCAGAGGTTGGGTGTTGGTTGATCAATTGTACTTAAATTTTCACTCCTTACAAGTTGCTGATTGAAACGGTAAACTTTTCGTAATTAAATTAACTAAAAATTGTGCCACTGAAGAACAGAGTTCTAAGAGCCAAAAATGTTTAGTTGACAGAGGTTGTAAATAACTTTGCATAGTTTAAGTGACTCGTGTCATGTTTTATTCTTTCTGGTTTATGCATAATAGCACACAGTATTTAATCATTAGGAAACGTTATAACAGTTTTCAGACTTAGTAAGTATGAATGTCCAGCTCTTAACTATAAACTGTTACGTGGAGGTTTGCAAGTAACAGTGGCCTAAACCCCACTTCTGTTGTGTTAAATAATGTAGCAGAAGGTCACAGGTGGATTGCACTTATTTTCAGAATAAATGATTGTTTTTCCATATTTATCCTGTCACTATCACATGGCTTGGTACGGGGGAAGCCCATTAACGTTGTGCTGATGTGCGTTCTTGAGCTCTTAAACGTGGCCACGCCGTGCCTCCTGAAGCAGCGCTCATGGGACGCCCTTGTTGCGGCGGTGGGAAACGCTGCGCCGAGAAGGCTGGAGGTGCGCTTGGAGTTCCAGACTTCACCAGGGTCTGTCACGGATGTTACGTAGTTTTCTACCCATTTGTTGATAATTGCCATTCCGGTTATATTTTGAAATACAGACTTTTTTCAATACTCTGAACGTGTTCATTGTAAAGACTTACTCTATGAATGTGTGGTTTTGGGAATCAGTTTATTTTATATTTGTGTAAATAAAGCCTCAAGATCTATGCATGAGGTACTGTCCTCGCAGACAGTGAGTGGGTTATTATCTAAAACGGTGTATGTTCAGAGTCCCTTTTTATACCTTACGTTTTCATTCTCTGGTTTGTATTACTTTGTGAGAGCAAGGTGAAAATGCTGCTGATGTTCCGAGTCCTGTTTTACAGTACCTTTTGAAACATTGGTGTATTGTAAGTTTTTGAGATGTTAACAGTCTTTCAGCTGCCGATTGTAGCTCCATAATACCAGCTGTGACTTTAGTTTTCCTTCCCAAATGTTCCTGAGTTAAGCTCGCCGTGGGAAATCGTATGCTGTTTCTGCAGTGAGAGGGTGTCCTTAAGGTGCTGGATTTGTTACCTTGATTTTATTGTGTGTGATGGTACCACCAAAGGGTAAAATTTAAGCACAGTTGTAATTGAAAGGCCCATAACTCTACAAATTACTAATTTTGGGTATGAATCTCTAATGTTTGTATACTGCAGAGAGTAATGTAAACTTGAAATATCCAATATTGTTGTAGGAGTTAACAGTATCTACACAGTGAATATTTTCTTTCCTTCAGAAAATGAAATAATTAGGCTACTCTAGGTTGTAACTAAGGCTTTTGTGCCAAGACTCGTTTCAGGGAATAATTTCTCACAGTTTTATAGAACTAGTTGGTATATAGCAAATACAACATATGTACAGCAGAAAAATAAACTTATTTTTCTGTAACAGAATTGGAATAAAGCTTACATGATATTTAAGAATCGCTTTGCGCTCTGAAGATGAGTGCAATGCTTATCCTTCTCTCATTCCTGTTACTGACTCCAGTAGTTCTAGAACAGGCGGAGGTAACCAGACAAGCAGGACAGCCTCAGAAGGAGCGCCCCAGGCAACTGGGAAGGTTTTGGGGTTTTTTTTCAGGTGAGATCAGCCAGAAAGGTGTTCCCTGATGGAAATCTCTAAAGTAAACACTCCGACCGGGTGTCTTGAAGAACGTATCTGCGTTGTTAGCAAGTCGGTCGTGCTTAACAGTTGGAGGGCATGAAAGCAGATAAGTTCCCGAGCAGAATTTTCACTCCAGAGTGCTTCTTCCCAAACAATTGCTTTTTCTTTGTTCGTTGTATATTTTTACTTTGCCGGTTTATTTTTGCTCAGGGCAGTACTTAAGATTTGGAAGAACAGGCGGTTCTGATGGGTGAATCAAACTGCAAATACTGGAGACATGTTTTCCTTTAGTAGAGCTAGGGAAGCCCTTGCAGATGAAGACCGAAAATATTTATTTAAAATAGAGTAGCATTTCTCACATTCAGGAAAGGTTCTTTTGTGCTCTGCCTGGATTCATTTTTGTCCCTGTTTTTGCAAGTTTCCACATTGTTGTTTCTTAGTCTGGACCGACTGTTCGGTCTGGCAGGTCACTTTTTTATTCCTTTAAATCACTGGTAAGTGAATGCAACGTGGAGCCTTGATGAAATGAGCAAACATTGCACTGTGGATACATAAGTATATTTGTCTTTGTTTATGCACTATTAGTACCGAGGGCGCTGTACATAGACTTTTGCTTTGGAGCAATATTTGCAAAACTTGAAAACTTCTGTATCTTGGTGTTTCGAATAAATAAATAGGTTTTTGTTGGTTAAGTCTTAGTAAAGTCTTTGTTTCAATGATTATTCAACAAAAGAATTTTGGACTTTTTTTTATCACATGGCATTGAAATGCAGGTACTGTAGTTTGACAGGAATATAGATCTTAACTATTCTTAAAGTACAGAAATTATTGTTTTCCAGATCTGTCTCATAAGTATTCTTAATAGGTAAACTGTTATGTATTGGTTTATAGTGGATATTGTTTTAGTGAGGAGCTTGTACATTTTATTCCCAAATCCTAATACCTGTAATACATTAGGACCTAGTATATGTAATCTGACCCTAATTTTTGTTCCTGTTTCAACGAATAACCGACTAGGGCTGCTCCATGCACTTGGCAGTGGCAGCTGGCTCATCCCTCTGGTGATTTGTTTCACAAGACTTGAACGTCGCAGGTAGGAAGCTGCTCTGTCCAGAACAGGCAGTGTCTGAAGTGTGTGTATGAGACCTCCCCGCCCGGAGACAAGTGTGAAGCCAGGATGCTCGCCCTGAAGGCGTAGCTTCCCTGAAGGCGTAGCTTCCCGGAACAGTTCCCGAGTGAATTGGGTCAAGTGCTGCCACCTGTACAGTGCAAACTGCATAGAGAAAAACCAGTTTTCAGGTGCAAATGTGTTTTGCCCATGTAGCAGCAGTTGAGTTTCAGGTAGGTTTGGGAGGGTTGAGCTGGAAGGGAACAGCACGTGGGTGCTGCCGTGGCACCTTCCTGAAAGCTGCTGCTGTGTCCTGGGCAGCAGCAGCGAGCCTGGTGTAGAAGCTGCATGTTTGCTGTGTGAGGCAGTGCTGCTTTAGTGTTCATGCAAAGGAAGGCACTTCTGATGTATTTGCACAATCTGTACAGAGAAAACGCAGAGGTACGGGAAGGGGAGAAGCTAGGGGGAGGTGCTGGAGGGGAAACTACCTGGTCAGGGTCTGGCCGAAGGCAGCGCAGGCATCAGGTGCGTTTCTGGTTCCATCACTTACCCTCGCAGTTTGCCCAGTAGGAGGAAAACAAGTTTATTCCCTTGTCCTAACAAATTGCCCTTCCTAATTTCATTCTCAAAACAAGATTCCTGTAAAACTCCTGGATTTTAAGGCCAGAGGGTGCATCACTGCTACAGCCCGGCTTGTGAAGCTTGGAGAAACTTCTACCACCACTGGTGGATCCAGGCATGTTTCATGGTTCAGTCAAATAGTGTAGGTTTTGCTCATCACTTTCATGTCAAAATCAAGTTTTGAAGATGTGGTCTGAATTTGAAATAACTCACTGAAATGTGTTTCCAAGAATGAGCGCCCTGCAATTTGAGCTTGTCCAATCTCCCTATTTTACTTGGTTGATCTGAAGGTTTTTTTAGGGGCTCACAGCAAGCAGCTGCGAAGTCATCTGTCAGCCTTCACGTGAGTAGAGTCAACCCTGAAGTTCCTCAGCCTAACAGATCTTGACAGAATCACTTTAATGTTCTTACTGTTGTTTGACCAAAAAAAAATCTAATTATGTGATCTGCTGTCAATCAGACGATGGATCCCATTTGTGCTCATTTTGATGCTGGAGTCGCATCCCTGCTGCCGCACTGGTGTTTCATCCGGTCACGAAAGCGTTGGTGCCTGGTAACTTGGTCTGGTTTTTTGCAGTGGGGCTGTTGAGCACATCAAGCTGTTGGCTGTTCAGAAAGA